TCAGGAGAGAATGCCTCTAGAACATGGCCATAGAGCCCGGAAAAACCTACAACAACCCAGCTTAAATCTGACTGGGTCGGCCTCTTGCCGGAAGAGAAGGGTCGTCAGTTGCGTCTTCCATTCCAACAGCTGATCTGGCTGTTCCAGCAGGTCATTTTACATCTGATGCTGGGTGATGGTCATCAGTTGGGTTCCGTCTGGTTGAAGTAAACATCCTTAAAAGGGACTCAGTGTCCAAAGAGGCCATGGATTGTATAGGAGATAGGTGGTCCTGTAGGACACCTGGACCCAAAACATGCAGGGCTTCAAAGGTCAGCACCAACATGTTGTCAAAGGCTTTCTTGGCTGGAATCACTGGTTGCTGTAAGTTTTTCGGGCTGTACAGCCATGTTCCGGAAGCATTCGCTCCTGACGTTTTGCCTGCATCTATGGCAGGCATCCTCAGAGGTTGTGAGGACCTGACAACACTGAGGACGCCTGCCATAAATGCAGGCAAAACGTCAGGAGAGAATGCTTCTGGAACATGGCCATACAGCCTGGAAAACTTACAGCAACTCAAAACCAACACTTTTCCCAGAAAGAAACTGACAGCCAGTGGAGTGGCTTTAATATGGGTGTAATAGGCTCACTCCTGGATGTTCCTGTGGCCAATATGGCTACTGGTTTTGAAGTAATTGGAGTTTCCACATTTGGTACAGAAATAGCCCAATGGAAAGCCTTTGAGAACACCTAGCCCCAGTGGTCCACAATCAGTGACACAGCACGGCCGTTTCATCCCATGCTCTTGTTCCGTAGCTACGATTTGCACGATCCCATTCCCTTGTCTTGTTTACAGCCTGGCCACGTCCTATGATAGTGGTCACTATAGGTCTTGGGTGTTGTTCTGACTTTTAAATTGTTGTTTTGTATGCTCAGTGTTTTACTTTGTTGTATTGGCCCTGCCCAGTGTGATCATTTGTGTTTTAATGTTTGATTTTATATTGTTGTGTTGCTTATTTACATTGGTTTTATATCTTATTTTATTTTCTGATTTTCTGTTGTGTTTTTGTGTTATATTGTGTTTACTGTATTGATGAGCGTGGCCTCATGTAAGCCGCCCTGACTCCCCTTGGGGAGATGGAGGCAGGGTGTAAATAAAGTATTATTATTATTATTATTATTATTATTATTATTATTATTATTATTATTATTGTGTTTATTTTACGCTCTGCTTTAGGCACTTTGTGCCATATGTGAGACGCTCTGAGTCCCTTAAGGGAGATGGAGGCGGGATATAAGAAGACGGTTGTTGTTGTTGTTGTTGTTGTTGTTGTTGTTGTTGTTGTTATGTGCATTGCAGAAGCCCAGCCTTGAGGTTTCCTTGTGCCGCTGCCTTTGCTGTCCCCAGCGGCGCTTCCCAAAAGCACTGGGGAGTGAGTGAGTGCATGAACACAGGCTTACCTTTCCTTTTCCCTTTGCAGTGACGTTGTGGTCCAGATCGTGGATGCCAGGAACCCCCTCCTCTTCAGGTGCAGAGACCTGGTAGGTGCCCCCCTCCCCGTGTTCCCGAGTGGGGTTTATGTGGGGCAGTTGTTTCACTTCAGGTGCTGGGCGGCTTGGTCACTCCTACCCTAAAGGCTGCCTTTGGTGCTGGATAGACTTCCATTCTTTCCTCAGTCCCTCCTCCCTGGGGCTGAGTGGGGGGGGGGGGGTGTTTGTGGAGGCGCCCCACCCCCTTCCCTTTCCCTGCTAGTGCTTCCCCGCAGCCGGCGATGGCTCTTGCTTCTGCCTCTTGTAGGAAAGCTATGCCAAAGAGATCAGCCCCGAGAAGGAGAACCTCATCCTGCTGAACAAGGCTGACCTGCTGAGCGAGGAGCAGCGCGCTGCCTGGGCCCAGTTCTTTGAAGAGGAGGGGGTCAGGGTGGTCTTCTGGTCGGCCCTGGCGGAGGGCAAGAGGCTGGCTGCACTCTCTAAGGTAATGCCGGGTGGGGGGCGGGATGGGGGGCTGTAACTCAGGCCAAGGATGGAACCGGGGGGGGGGGGAGGGAAGGGGGTGGATTGGGAGCTTCCTTGCAGGCAGTTCTCACTGCCTTTGGGGCTCTTCTTACATAGTGACCCCCACCCCTGTGAAAAGTCATTCTAGGGTCTTAAGACTTCAGGGTAGTTCGAGCCAATACAGTGATTGCCCTGGCAGTTTTCCCCAAGAGCCATTGAGTCCAAGCCTGCTGGTGCTGTTGCAGAAAACTACCCCTGAAAGGTGGGCCAGGCGGCCTCTGTTAAAAACCTCCAGCCAAGGAGAGTCCACCACCTTCCAAAGTGCTCTTCGCACCAGGATCTTCTTCCTCACCAGAGCTGAATGCGGTGGCACTCCTGCTTCCCTCGACTGGGACACTCTTCTCCCATTGAGGTTGCCTCACATTGCATTAGATTTTTTCATTGCTGTTGGATGACACTGTTGTCGAATGTGCAGCTTGAGGAGGCCTTGCAAACATTGCGCCTCTGCAACAAGAGGCTGCAGCAGTCCTCTTTTTAAATTATATTATTACTACTAGCCTTTCCCTGCCATGCGTTGCTGTGGCCCAGTCTGTGTATATGTGTTTTGTGTGTGTATATATGTGTGTTTGTGTGTGTGTATATATGTATATGTATATGTGCGTGCGTTTGTGTCTGTGTGGTTTTGCACATGCATTGTAATGTTTTGTGGCTTTTTAAGTCCCTTCCACTGTGTATTTCAGTGTTTTTATGTGTGATGGTCACTTGTTGGTCTGTTAGGGGTGTAGTGTCCAAATTTGGTGTCAATTCCCCCAGTGGTTTTTGAGTTCTGTTAATCCCACAAACGAACATTACATTTTTATTGCCATAGACTTATTGTTTACTGTGGAAGAGTCGTGCCCCACAGTGTTTGTGTCCTGCTTTCTTTTGTGCAGGGGACAGAGGCCACAGAGGGACCGGGTCCGGAGGAGGAAGCAGCTTCCTGGCCGAGGGAGGGCCGGACCCTGAGCAGCCAATCCGAGAGCGACCCAGGCTCCTCCTCAGAGGAAGAGGACTCCTCGGAGGAAGAGAGCGACGCTTATGAGGACTGCGAGGAGGATTGGGAGGGGGAGGAGGCCTGGCTGACGTGCTCCGAGGACGAGGGGAGCGGGGCCACAGGCGGGGAGAGCAGGACGGAGGGCCTTGAGACCCCCAAAGGGCCCGGACCCCCGCTGCAGCACCCCCCCAGGAACAGCAGCCACTTAGTGCAGCGAGAGGAGCTCCTGCAGGTCTTCCGCTCGGTCCATGAAGGGAAGAAGACCGTCAGAGACGGGGAAGTGACCGTTGGGCTGGTGAGTCGAAGGGGGCCACCTTCCCCAGTCCAGTGGAACCAGCTTCCTTTATGGGTGCTGGCGGAGGGTGCCCCACATCTGCCTCCACATCTGCCTCCACATGGGGCCTGGGTGGGGTCAGGGGGCCCTTAAGGTTCCCCTCAAAAGGGAGCTGGCCATAGTCCCTGCACCTCTCCCCCTCTCACACATACACACACACTTCCATGGCCCAGTCTGGCAAGGTGAGACTGAGTGCCTCCCTCGCTCCCTCAGGTGGGCTACCCCAATGTCGGAAAGAGCTCCACCATCAACACCATCCTGGGGAAGAAGAAGGTCTCTGTCTCGGCCACCCCGGGGCACACGAAGCACTTCCAGGTACGCCTGGGGGTGGCAGGGCAGGCAGGCAGGCAGCGGGTGGGTCCTGTGTTGGCCCTGGGCGATGGGCAAATGGGGGGCTCAGAGGGGCCGGTGCCTCCCCAGTTGACAGCTGTCTTTCTGCAAGAGCTGCTCTTCCTGGGGCAATGATCACATCTCCACAGACCCTATCTGGGAACCCCCCTTGGGGCTGAGGGATGCTGAGGAAAGGCTGGCCTTGCCCAGAGGACACCCCAATATCCTGGCTGTGTGCCAGAGAGCCCCCCTTCCCCGGAAGGCCCACCTTTTGGTTGTTGTTGTGTCTGCAGACGCTGTACGTGGAGCCTGGGCTGTGCCTGTGTGACTGCCCCGGCCTGGTGATGCCCTCCTTTGTTTCCACGAAGGCTGAGATGATTTGCAGTGGGATCCTGCCCATTGACCAGATGAGGGACCACGTCCCCCCGGTCTCTCTCATATCCTTTTCCTGCATCAAGTGGGACTCCGTGTGTGTGTGTGTGTGTGTGTCAGGGGCTGGGATGATCCCAATTTTCCACATGGACGAGATGGCCCATGTGGCCTCTTTCTACTCTTCTATGACTTGTCTATGATGCTTGCCTTCTTGCTCAGGGATTGTCCAAGCCTGGCCTCCATCCTGCCAGGAGCCTGGGCAGAGGGGGATGGGTCATTCCTGAGGGAAGGGGGGGGGGGAGGATGGCCAGGGATGCACCCTTCCTGGACTAGAGGTGGGCCAAGGTGCCCCTTCCACCTGCCTGTGTGCCTGTGTTCAAAGACTGTGCTGGAAAGTATCGAGAGGGAGGGGCACTGCTTGCTTATGAGGACGAGAGAAGCTTGATGTGGGAGGGGAAGGGCGATGGATGGATGCAAGAGCCAAGACCCCTGAGGGAAGGGAAGAAGCCAACCTGGGTCCTGAGGGGAAGGCGGTGGGGGGGGAAGGGTTTGTTGACACTGCCCGCTGCTTCTTAGGCCAATGGAGAGAGCTGGCCAGTGTTGAGGGCCTAGGAGCAAAGGTCAGCTGGGCCAGGGAGGTGTGGGGGTCAGAACTGGGGAGAGGACCATCACAGTGGGTGTGGGGGGAAGGGGGGGGTTCAGAGTGCCATGGAAAGAGCTGGAGAAAGGACCCCGACGTTGGGCATCCTGGGGACTTGGGGAGATTGGGCTGGGTGGAGAAGGGAATGTTTTGTTGGGTGTTGACTGCAGGGCCCAGTGAAGGCCGACTCCTGGTGAAGTGGGGGGGGGGGGGGGTCCATTGCTTTGGCTGACGGGAACCTTGGAGCAGCCTCTGGAATCTGACAGTTGTGCTTAGGACTGACTTGGCCGAAGAGCAAAAGCTGGTCAGAGGAGACGAGGCAGAGGAAGTGGTGTGGCGGGGGCCCTGGACCAGCCAGACCACCTTCCATTGGGAGGGCCCCCAAAAGTGGCTGGCCAGTGTCCTTGTGGGTGGGCTGGGGGGACACCATGCTGGGCCCAAGGGAGGAGAGCCACTGAGGAGGCACTGGCCTCTTGCTCTGGGGCTTGAACCAGCTGTTTTCGTACTTACTCTGTTTGGCCCAGGGCTGTTCTCCAGCTTCAGGCCCCCCACCCTGGCTTCCCCAGTGCGGATAGCCCTGCAGGCTGCCCCATGGAGCCCTTTCAAGAGTGCGGAGAAGAACACATGGGGGAGGGGCTTTTAACTGGACATTCTCTTCAGGGCAGACTGGCTGGCCATCAGAAGGAGCCGGACAGGAGGAAGGCTGGGCCCCCCGGCCCATGCCTGCAGAGTGAGTGCTTCTGCTCTGTCTGTCCGTTTGGGGAGTGATCTAGAGTCCATCCAGCTATGGACTGGGTCAAGCCACGGGACCTTGCTTTCTAGGCCAAAAAGGGCTCTCTTCAGTGGCCACTGAGCCAGGCTTCCTCCCAGATATTTGCAGGTGTTGAAAGCAGGTCCTCCTGGTGCTTGACCTCGTATCTTGTGGGCATCATAGAATCAAAGAGTTGGAAGAGACCTCATGGGCCATCCAGTCCAACCCCCTGCCAAGAAGCAGGAATATTACATTCAAATCACCCCTGACAGATGGCCATCCAGCCTCTTTTTACAAGCCTCCAAAGAAGGAGCCTCCACCACACTCCGGGGCAGAGAGTTCCACTGCTGAACGGCTCTCACAGTCAGGAAGTTCTTCCTCATGTTCAGATGGAATCTCCTCTCTTGTAGTTTGAAGCCATTCCTCCATGGCGTCCTAGTCTCCAGGGAAGCAGAAAGGAAGCTTGCTCCCTCCTCCCTGTGGCTTCCTCTCACATATTTATACATGGCTATCATATCTCCTCTCAGCCTTCTCTTCTTCAGGCTAAACATGCCCAGCTCCTTAAGCCGCTCCTCATAGGGCTTGTTCTCCAGACCCTTGATCATTTTAGTCGCCCTCCGCTGGACACATTCCAGCTTGTCAATATCTCTCTTGAATTGTGGTGCCCAGAATTGGACACAATATTCCAGATGTGGTCTAACCAAAGCAGAATAGAGGAGGTGGGGAGGGAGGTGGGAGTCATTGCAGATGGACTGCATGGAGGAAAGAAGGGGAGCTTGCCTGGTCTTGAGGAGCCCCCAAATCCCTCTTGTCTTGGGGAGCCCCCGGCTTGCCCTAATTGCACCCATAGGCGTCTGGGGTCCTTCCTTGACTCTTGAACGTCTGCCAGCGCATCCCCCGTTCCGTTCTGGAGTCAACCTACGGCATCAACATTGTCCGGCCGAGAGAAGACGAAGCGCCTGATCGGCCGCCCACCTCAGAGGAGCTGCTGACCACCTACGGATGTGAGTGTCTGCCCAGCAAGGCCGGGGTGGGAGTGTGCGCCTCTGCCTGGACGTTCCCCCTTCTGCCTGGAGAAGGAAGGAAGGAAGGAAAGCAGGTGGCTCCCCTTGGTCCCTTGGGGGTGCCTTTCCCTGAAGGCGGCCTGATCTGCCTCTTCCTTCCTTCCTTCCTTCCTTCCTTTCTGCTGCCCACCTCTCCCTACTGTCCTCTGCCCACCTGCCCACTGCAGATATGAGGGGGTTCATGACGGACCACGGGCAGCCGGATCAGCCCCGCTCGGCTCGCTACGTGCTGAAGGACTACGTCACAGTAAGTGCCCAAGAGGCTTCTGAGCATCCAGGGCAGTGTCGATGTGGTGGTAAGATCTCTCTCTGCAAGCGCTGGGTGGGAGTAGAGACTCAGTGAAGAGGGGGCTCAGGCGCAGAGCGAGGAGTGCAGGGCCAGGGACGAGCAACAGGGCCCACTTGCCCTTCTCTTCTCCGCTTGTCTCTTCCCGTCCCCTGTGCCCGCTCCATGAAATAACAGATTCCCAGCGTGGAAGCTCATGGGGCGGGAACTGGTTTCTTCCTTCAAGATTTAGAACTTCCAGTAAAACATTTTCCAAACATTTAAAAATAGAGTAGAGGTTTCCTCCTCCTGAGATCTGGAATGCCGGCTGGCGCAACAACCCCTGGCCTTTGCCTCAGCTGCCTGGCACTTCTGGGAGAGGAAGCCCCAAATTCCCGAGACCCAAAGAGTGAGGGGGGCTGGCCCATAAAGCTAGAGGTTGGATGTTGGGATTTGTTGTTGCTGGACAGCCTGTGGCTGGATGATCGGGGCCTCCCAAGGGAATTCATAGGGTCATGGTTGGAAGGGACCCCCAGGGCTCTGCAGCCCAACCCCCCTCTGTCAGGCGGGGGGATCACACACTCGTAGTGCCCCCAAAAAGCGGCTGCCTGGCCTCTGCTCAAACGCTCCCACGGTGGAGGCGCCACCAGAAAAGGCAGAAAGACATTCCGCTGTCCAACAGCACCAACCGCCAGCCTGTGCTTCCTAATATTGAGGTGGGACCTTTTATGCTGCAGTTGGAACCCCTTGATCCATTTCATAGTTTTTGGGCCACCGCCAGCAGCAAACGGCCCTTCTTCCTCCTCCCCCTCCTCCACGTGACCTTCCAGCTATTCTGCTCTCCTGCCCCTGCTTCTTGGTCTTGTCTCAGCCTTCTTTTCTCCCAGCTCCACATGCCCAGTTCCCTCTGCTGCTTGTTGTGTTCTTCCTAAGCGGCACCATCTTGTGGATCTGGCCTTGGTGGCTGGGAGGTGAGGAGAGGGCAGGCAGGATCTGCTCCTTCTCCTCCTCTTCCTCTCTTGGCTTTGCAGCCGGAGCCAGTGGGATTACCTTCTGTGCCTGCTGCTTAGGGCTTATGGAATGAGAGTTGGGCTGGGGAAGTTGAGCTGGCCAAGCTGACCCCCGCCTACCCCTTGCCTGGCTTTTCCAGGGCAAGCTGCTCTACTGCCACCCGCCACCCGGAACAGATGCCCAGGAGTTCCAGCACTGGCTCAAGAGAGGCAGCCCAGCCCCCAAGGCCCCTCCCCCTTGGACAAGGGCACGGCCGGGCCAGAGCCGGAGGACCACGCAGGTGGACAACGGGGTGGATGCCGACTTCTTCCACCAGGTAAGGGCTCCCTGGAGGGGGTTGGGAAGAGAGGATCAGGGGCCTCTGTGGAGCCCCCCCCCCCTTGCTGGTGTTTGGGGCTGCAGCTCCCTTTGGAGCCCATCTCCCTGCATTGCCTCCCCCCTTCCCCCCCCAGGAGGACATCCGTGCCTTCACGCGGGGCAGGCAGTCCTTGGCGCTGGGCTCCCAAGGAGGACTCTCTGGCCAGCGGGGCTTGCCCACCTCCGGCGCCAAGGAGGGCGGCCCAGGGAAGCCCTGGAAGAAGCACGGCAACAGGAACAAGAAGGAGAAGCTCCGCCGTGTCACCAGGCACCTGCAGGCCTGAGAGGGGCCGGGCCCGCCGGGAAGCAGTGGGGCAGTCCATCTGCCTGTGGGCAGCACCCTATTCAGTCATGGCAGCCCTCCTCATCTCCTCCTTCACCCCACCCCTGGACTGCTTTTGGGGAGCTGGGACCGAGGGGGGGGGAGGTGCCTGGGGGACTTGGTGGTCCCTTTGGCCTCTGTTTCCAGGTCCAAGGAAGCTGCTGTGCAAGGCAAGAGACCAAGCATTTCTCTCCTGGGGAATAAAGTTTTGCTACCTTTCTGTCTGCTCTCTTGTGTGCCAGGCCAGCTCCCCTCCCCCAGCCCCTTCAGCCCTGCCCAAAGCCCCCTCATCCCTCTCCCCCACAATAGTGGCCCTTGGGACCCTGAGGACTGGCAGGTGGGCAGGTGAGTGGTGGTGGTGGTGGTCTACTTTCCAGGGGCATAGCAATCCCCATTCCATTCTCCAACATAGCCCGCTTGCGCTCTGCGGCCTGCCCATGCCCAGCCTGCCGGTGGGATGCCAGACTCTCCTTTTCCCTGTGGGCCACCTGCTTCCTTGGAGGAGACCCCAGCAGTCCCTTGGGGCCTGCCTCCTCTGCTGGTGGGCCAGGGCCACTCATGGCACCCTTGAGGAGGGGGTGCTTCAGCCAAATCCCCACCAGAAGATGGGCCCAGGAGGAGAGGAAGCTGGGGCCCTTGGGGGCATGCAGCAGGCCCTTCCCTTCTCTGCCAGGAGGGGGCACCCCAGCCCCCTTAAAAAAGGACCTCCTCCTGCCATGGGGAGAACCTGGCCCCCAAAGGACTCCTTCTGCAACAATGGGGGTGGGTGGGGAGGAGACCCCTTCCCCCTCCTCCTCCTCAGAGAGCCATTGGGTGGGATTCCAAGAGGAAAGGTGGGGGGGGGGGCACCACAGGCTCGGTCCTCCTGGCTTTGTGGTTCTTCACTCACTGGGGGTTTTCTGTTGGAATCAAGGGGCAAAAAGCCTGGAAATCTGTGGAAACGGCTCTTTGAGGTTTGTCCTTGTGCAAACCCCTCAGGCTGGAGGGATGCGATCTCATTCCCGCAACTGGGAGCAACCCGTCCTTGTTCCTCTCTTCCAGTGGAGAAATGTGTCTATCCACGAGATCATGCCCCCATGTCAGTAGCAGGAGTGTGGGAACACGCCTCATAAAGACAAGAAGGGAGACTTTTGAGCCTTGTGAGGCCAGTTTGAAACTACATTGAAAACAAGGTTTGTTCAGAAATCTGCTTTAAATGGGAAAGATCTGGTCACCTCTTGTGAGATACTCCACCTGATATCTGGGGAAGGAAAACCTCACTCTCCAGGGGAGCCCTTGACTGTGCTCTCAGTGCCCATTGTTATTACACGTGCTGTGAGCCAACAATGAATGTATCCGTCCCCTTGATCATGGCAAGGGCTGTTGACAAAATGCCAGAAGATGTGGAAGGCCAACTGGCCTCCCAGTGAAAAGTTGGGAAGTTTGTGTGTTCAGCAGGTAACACAGTAGTCAGGACTGATGGCTTATGTTAGGGATTTGCACAACGGCAAATGCAACGAGGAAATGCTAAAGGAAATCAATGTGTGAAGAAGGAACGAGGCCCTTCCATGAGAACGATGCCCCTCTGGAGAACCTTCCAGCCTCTGCTGCTGTTGCATCTAAGTCTGGGAGAGCCTTGTATTCTTGATCTAAAAATTTATTTATTTAATACACTTGTATACCGCTAATATCTCAGCCTAAATCGGCGACTCATTGCGGTTTACAGCAATTAAAAGCAATGTACAATTTAAAACAACAACACGTAAACAATACAAATTATTGGGCCACCAATAATAATACCATGCTTCTCGTCACAAAAATCACAGTCCAGAGTTCGTCATCCATAATTAACCAGTCCTTAGTCTATAAATTCAATAGTAACAAACTAATTGAATGCTTGTTTACACAACCATGTTTTTAATCTCTTCCGAAAGACCATCAGCGAAGAGGCTGATCGTATCTCTATAGGGAGGGTGTTCCAAAGCCGAGGGGCCACCACAGAGAAGGCCCTGTCTCTCGTTCCCGCCAGCCGCACTTGGGAAGCCGGGGGGATAGAGAGCAGGGACTCTCCAGAAGATCTTAGGGTCCTGGTGGGCTGATAGGCTGAGATACGTTCGGATAGATAAGTTGGGCCAGAACCGTTTAGGGCTTTAAAGGCCAACGCCAGCACTTTGAATTGAGCCCGGTAGCATATCGGCAGCCAGTGGAGCTGGTGCAGCAGAGGAGTTGTGTGCTCCCTGCGCCCCGCTCCTGTTAGTATCATGGCTGCCGCCCGTTGGACTAATTGGAGCTTCCGGACTGTCTTCAAAGGCAACCCCACGTAGAGAGCGTTGCAGTAATCAAGGCGGGATGTAACCAGAGCGTGGACTACCGTGGCTAAGTCAGACTTCCCAAGGTACGGTCGCAGTTGGCGCACAAGTTTTAATTGTGCGAATGCTCCCCTGGTCACCGCCGAAACCTGGGGTTCCAGGCTCAGCGATGAGTCCAGGATCACACCCAAACTGCGAACCTGTGTCTTCAGGGGAGTGCGACCCCATCCAACACAGGCTGTAATCCTATACCCTGTTCGGTCTTACGACTAACCAGGAGTACCTCTGTCTTGTAAAAAAAGGAAGGTTATTCTGGCTGCCCTGTTGCAAAGAAACATCAGCGCCTGCAGCCTTCACCGTGAGCGGAGCCATCACCCAAAGCAGACCACCCACGACCAGCAGATCCCAGAGACAAGCCTCCTTACCACTTTTGATCCGCTTCCCGTTGTCCACATTATTGTTCAGTTCATTATGAACTGCTGCCAAAGAGGGAAACTGGCCAATTCCTGTCTTCTGATATTGGTGGCACGCAGCTTGGCTTTTGCAGGAAACCCTGCTGTCATCTCCTTGCTTGGAAAAAGGCTGCCATGCCTGCGCTTCCCCTCTTTTCTTCCACGTCCTTGCCTCTGAAAAGTGTCTCAACCGAGTCCCACAAAGCAACGAGATGAGAAAGGCACTCTTGAATTGCATTCCATTTATGTGATGAATGGTTTTTATTACAATCTGTAGAGATGAATGTGAGTGTTTTTGAAACCAGGTGTTGCCAGTCAACAACACATTGCACACCTTTCCAATATGCCACAAATCCTCTGTTTTTAAAAGTTTCTACAGTTTTGGGATAAAGCAGGATTGTTTTCCAAGATATTTCCTGTTTCATATTTAGTAGAATCAGGTTTCAGTCATGTGTATTATTTACTCAGCCAAATGTCGCATTCAAATGTCAAATGTCGAAAGAATGGGCAGGTGATCTTCGGTTAGCCCTCATGGCAAGAGAACTGGGCATAAAAAAGCACAAAGGCCATATGGATCAAGGAACAGTTGTAGGTCTTTTCGGGCTATATGGCCATGTTCTAGAGGCATTCTCTCCTGACGTTTCGCCTGCATCTATGGCAAGCATCCTCTGAGGATGCTTGCCATAGATGCAGGCAAAACGTCAGGAGAGAATGCCTCTAGAACATGGCCATATAGCCCGAAAAAACCTACAACAACCCAGTGTTTCCAGCCATGAAAGCCTTCGACAATCGATCAAGGAATACTTAAAGTGTAATGTCTTATTTAATTAATGCATTTTGTATAAATTATTTTTAAAATGTAATGAAACATGTTCTATTTAGCAACAAAACCTTTACATTGCGACCCTTTCTATCGGTGGGGGTGGGGGCACAGGAAATAATAAATGTAGAAAATAAATAATAGAAAAGGCTGCCTTAACTCCCATCTATTAATAAGCTCGCCGTGTTTATTAATTGGCAGACATTCTGTTCCCCTGACCTATTGATCAGGAACATCAGACACACCCCAGGGGTGCAATAATATTTAATCTTTCAGCCTCACTTCCTATTTGTAATGGCGGGACCTTGGTGAGGATCCCGGTGGGGTCAACACCTGCGGGGACGGCCTGGCTCTGGAGGGCAGACTCCAAACTTGGCGGGTCTCCTTCTGTTGAATGTGGAAATCCAGAAGGTTTCTGGCCCCTTCTGCAAGGAAGAAAGGAGCTTCACTCAAACTCTTCTTTTCACGCCTTCAGAAGCAAGAGCTCTTGCCTCTCTTCTTATGCCAGGGTTTCCTCTCTGCCATATTGGCCACTTCCTTTTGGGATTGACCTCAGCCAGCGCTGCTCCGTGTTCCTCCGTGGAGCAGAAGCCCCCAGTTGCCACCTTGAAGTGAAAGGGTCTTTGAGTGAAATTTGCAAATGCTAAGCAAGGGGCTTTGAATGAAATTAACAGCAAAAGAGAAACACCCTTTCTCTCTAGAAAAAGAGCAACACGGAAGAAAATGTTTTTAAGAAACAAGATGGTTGGAAGTTGTATTGTGGTTAAGTTCAAAGGCTGTGGTTAAGTGCAGAGTCTGCAAGTACAAGAAGGTACTTTCCATCAAAAGGTCAAGGGAGAGGGGCTGGAAAGAGAGTACTTTCCATGACCAAAAAAATGTTCTTGTTTACTTGAGTATAAAAGTCAGCAGAAACAGAGGAGGGGCGCAGCAGTCACTTGAAGGGTAGCATCTTCGTATGCTGCCAGGCTGTCCGTCTTCTTCACGAAGAAACTAAAATAAACCTTGTTTTTTGATCTTTTTTTGGGGGGACTGTCTCCTTCCTTTTGTGCTCCTGCGATGTGGACCTAAGAAGACCCAATTTAGGGTCTCTAACATAAGGACTTGTCCACACAAAATGGGAGAGCCTGCGATGGATTTTCCTTGGGGAAATACACAAAGCTCAGTGGACTCTAAAAATCAAGAGGTACATGCAGGTGAAACATCAGGAGAGAATGCTTCTGGAACATGGCCAGACAGTCCAAAAAACGTAAAAACAAGCCTTCGACAGTACAAAAATCAAGATGTTTTGCCACTTTCTGCCCATGTTTGCCTTTGGCCAAAGGGGCCGTTCAGAGGTCCACAGTGAACAAGGGGAGCCTGGGAAGGGGGTTAGCCAAGCGTCCAGTGCCTGTTGTCTGTTTTCCGCGGGGCGGGGCGGGGCGGGGGGGACGACACACCCAACAGGTTTGGGAGGTCTGACTAGCTCCCTTTTCTTTAGGGAAAAACACAGCAGCAGAGAATGGGCATTTGATCGGCCTCCTTTTGTTGGGGGGAAACACAACAGGAATATAGAGTTGTGCCATAATGAAGAAGGGGTGCCTGCCTATCTTTGTGGGCCACTGACCCCATCCTGGGGGATTCTGCCCACCCCTCTCATCCCCTGGATGAGGCTCCAAATGGG